AGACGAATGGCGAGCCGTCGTCGCGATGTCGCTCTGCACATCTGCGAAAATGGGGAAACCTGGGCCGTCGGAAAATCTGTGGCAAGCTCGACCGTCCTATCTCTTTTCTTCAATCGTTGACTAACAATTTATTCTTCAGCTCGTCTGGGCCAGGGGCTACTCGACCGTGTTTGGGCCCGTTTGCCGTTCTCCGATGTTTTGAGGAGCATGGTCTCATCCGAAACATTGGCCCGACAGGGACGGCCTCGTCTGTGACTTCAACCCCCCCCCCCGGCCATCAGCCTCAACGACCTCACTGGCTGATTTGCTACCTTGCGCTATGTTCTCCATCTTAATTGTTACTGCCCGTGGTATCGTGCAGGTCAAACGGCAGAAGATCGCCGTGGTGGCGGGACGCATATTCGGTCGGATTTTCACACATAACCGCGCGCAGGCTGGGTGAGCTCTGCGTCGCCTCTGTCGCTCAGCCTCAGTTCCAGAAACTTGCCCCTGTGACAGAACTGCGTCGCATCTCCAGCTGGATCTTCGTGACATGGCGGGAAGGACATCAGCAAGCGCTGAGGGAGGGGGCTTTGACAAGCTTACTTCAATGTTCAGACCATTTCCCGGGGGATGGATCGATGTTATTTAAGATGGCAGGTGTCCTCCATTGAGTTGATCGAGGAGCTAACCAGAAGCATCGAGTACAAGGCTGCAGTCGTCTAAACATATCATTTTAGTAATTTGAGGGTATTTTGAAAATACCCTTTTCTTTCTTTCACTTTCATCATGGTTCGTCTCTCAGTTGCCGCAGCACTTTGTAAGTCTCTCTCCCCAACTCAAGGCCTCTCTGTCTTTCGCTAACATATCCAAGTCGCTGCTTCAGTTCTTGCTGCCCCAAGCCCTCTTTCCCCAGACCCGGCCGGCGCGAAGAACGTCGGCAACGGCCAAGGTGCCCAATTCATCGGCGGAGCCTGCTTGAGCAGCAAAGACTGTGCCTCCACATGCTGTGCCACCCTCAACGGCGCCGGAATCTGCTCCGGTCTTGGAGCGCAATTCCAGGCAGGCAAGACAGGATGTGGTTTCGGTGACAGTGGAGGTGCCGCTGCCGCTCCTGCTGCCGCACCATCAATGGCCGCCGCCGCCGCTCCTGATACAGGAAACACAGCCGCCGCAGCAGACACGGGCGCAGCAGGGTCGCAGAACGTCGGCAAAGGCAACGGCCAGCAGTTCATCACCGGTGAATGCCTGACGGACGCCGACTGCGCGTCGGCGTGCTGTGCAGGGCTCAATGGCAAGGGGACATGTTCTGCCGTGGCCGTGGCCAACGCGAACGGCAAGACGGGGTGCGGATTCGGCGGCGCCGCGGCTGGCGCGGGATCGGGGACTGGCGCTGAAGCTGCGGCGCCCTCCGCGCCTGCCCAAGCTGCCCCGGCTGCCGGTGGCGACACGGGCGCGGCTGGGTCGCAGAATGTAGGAAAGGGTAATGGGCAGCAGTTCATCACGGGGCAGTGCCTCTCGGATGCGGACTGCGCCTCGGGATGCTGCGCTGGGCCCAAGGGGGCATGCTCTGCGAGGGCTGTGGCTGAGGAGCAAGGCAAGACTGGCTGCGGATTCACGGCGGCTGCACGATTCTGATGGTTGACTTCTTGGCATGCATTGGTAAAGTAGCGAGTTTAATGACGTGGATTTTGGCGCAAAATGGAAGGGCATAAGAGCGATGTCAGGCACACATGGATTTTATTACAGACGAAATGGATAAAAGTTGATACAATTTGCAAGGCAGAGATCACTCGTCGTTATAAGCTGCAATGGCGATCATTCAGACTCGAATAGGCAGTAGGATGGGCGGAATTAGGCCCGTTCGTCTACTATCTTAACATGATGTCCTGATTGGGACAGCTGAAAGGCGCCTGTGCATTAGGTTGGACAGGGGGGCCAGCAGCTGAAAAGTCAGATGCTGCCTTGTTTTATGGCGGCATGATGTCTAACTTGCAACACATTCTTTTCAAAGCTGGAGAAAGGTCCAAGTCTCCGCGATGAACCCTTACCAGTACCGGACTTTGGGACCGGGTGAGATCCGGCTGCTCCGTCTCCACCCGGCGCCGGACCCGCGCCGAGACCTCACCGGCACCATTCTCCACCATGAGCTGGCCAACCCAACATTTCGCTGGGCGTCAGACGGACCGTACCTAGAGCACAAGCTACCGTACGAGGCCGTATCTTATCACTGGGGAAGCAACACCAAGACACCCTTCAAGCTTCTCGTGAGCGACGAGAACGCCGACAGCAGCACCCCCGCATCTAGCATCCCATTAACCGCATCTCTACACACCCTTCTCCGCCAGATCGCTTACACCGACGGCGACCGCGTGGTCTGGGTCGATGCAATCTGCATCAACCAAGTCCTCGGCGCAGACAACGTCGAGAAGGGCGCGCAGATCCGCATGATGCCCGACATCTACGGCATCGCGGCGCGCGTGCTGGTGTACCTCGGCCCGTCCGCAAACGACAGCGACCTCGCCATCGCCTTCCTGGAGCACATCTCAGACTTTGCAGACTACCTCGACGAGACCCTGCCGACGGCCAACTTCTCCGCCGCCCAGGCCGCGGGCTTCGTGATGCCGCCGCCGGACGCGCCCGAGTGGCCGGCGCTCCGAGCCTTCTTGCGCCGCCCGTGGTTTCGCCGCGTCTGGGTGATCCAGGAATTCGTCAACGCCACTGAGCTTACGGTCCTCTGCGGCGCGCGGGAGATCGACTGGCGCAGGCTGTGGCTTGCGACGCGGGCCTACGTCGACAACCTCCGCCTCGCGCATCAGGGGTACAGGTCGAACTGGCTTGTTCCGCTGGTTCTTCTGATCCCGTGGTACCGCCGGCACAGGCTCGATCAGTGGAGACTCGCGCACGAGGGCGCGAGCGCGATGCACACGATTGGGGATTTCCGACTGAGGCGGGCGGGGTACATGAGTCCCGCGTACATGTGGTTCAACTACCGGGAGGACACGGAAAACGATAGGTGGAAGGAGCCGTTACCTGTGAAGCGAGATTTTGCGGCGATTTGCGAGTATGAACGCTTAGCGGCGCCGAAAATGTTGGAACACAGGGCGGAAGGGACGGTGTTTCCTTTTGGGAGGAGAGGATTGCTCGAGTTGTTCATGATGACTGGTACCTTTCTGGCCACGCAGCCTGTAGATAGGATCTACGCGTTGTTGGGGCTGGCCGAGGATGTCGACGGAGAGGAGTTTGCGCCCATCTACTCGAAAGAGCAGACCCTTGCGGTGGCTAGCAAGCGGTTCGCAATTGGGAAGATTGAGCAGGGCCAGGGAGCCGAGGTTCTCGCTCGCTCAGGGCTGAGGTCGAAGAAGTCTAAGAAACGCGGTGGTGACAATGACGAAGCGCCGTCGTGGGTACCTGACTGGACTTCCGTCACCTATGCTCAAGACAAAAGACCTGGGTTCACCCTGCGATCTCACGGCAAGCAACGCGAAGAGGCCGAGCCGACGGAGAACAAGAACCAAGAACCTGGCGAAGATGACACGACCTTGGGACCCCCAACGGAAGGGGGGAATGATAAGCCACTCGAGGATTCAATGCGTTTGTACACAGCCTGTGGCGACACGAACTTCTACCACCATTTCACCGAAACGCGCAACATTCTGTACGTCAAATCCATTGGCGTCGACAGCATAGCCGCCATCATACCCGGACGGCTCAGGCTGGGAGCCTTCATAAACGAGTTCCTGATCATGGCCACGTTCAATATCGCAGGCATGGAGTACCCAACGGGGGAGAGGCTCGAGGATGTCATTTGGAGAACTCAAATCGGCAACCGGACGTCGCAGGGCGAGGTCCCGGGGCCGGAATACCTTGAGCTGTACCAAATGGTCAAGAAGAGAGACCGTGACATGTTCATCTCTGTCGTCTTCACCTGGGTGGTAGCATGCGTCCTGATGTCGCCTTTCGCACTCGCCATCCTGCGGCGACTGCCGCTGTACCTGGAGATCTTTGTCTTAGTCGCGGCCTTCCTCAAGGGGAAGCTGCCTCTAAAGTACGCTGGGTTGGCTGTGGTATGTATTTACCTCCTGCGATGGCTGTATTGGGTGTTTGCCATACCGCTATTGTTGTATTCTCTCTATGTGGGAGTAGCCAACATCTGGCAAAGGGAGTTTCTCGTGGCTGTCTCACAGTTCGGGGTGACCTCAGCTTCAGACGTGGGGTCCCTTCCGCCCAAATGTGCCATGTACACGAACCAGTTGTCTAATATCGCCAACAAATACGAGCTTGCCGTCACCAAGCAAGGCTTGATTGGACTGGTCCCGCTGTGCACGGAGGTGGGAGATAGGGTTGGTGTGATCCACGGCTGTGATGCACCATTTGTTCTGCGGCTGGATGAACAGAGGGGGCTTCTCAGAGTTGTTGGAGAGAGTTATGTGCACGGAATCATGAATGGAGAGCTGGCTGGGGGCCTTGTTGAGGAAGTTGGCCTGTACTGAGAAATATCGATTGCCTGCGTCGTCGTCCGCTTATCCAATCCCGTTTCGGACTAGGGTTTGTGTCGCTCTTGTCAAAAGCTCTTGTTTGTTTTCTTCATCTACTTAGTCAGAGGGAGGAAGTTCTGAGTAAGGAACGGCCACGGCAGAGATGGGTATCGTCGAAGGACATCGCTATTTCAGAGGCTTGAAAGTCTCATGGCCTGGGTGCCCATGGATGCCCACGACCTTGGGTTCTTCCTGATGGGTACCCATGGAAAAGGAGTCCATCCATAGATACCCATGGGGGCCCATGGGCGCTGGGCAATACCTCGTCACCCATGGATATGGGTACCCATGGGTATATTCAAGCCAACTCGCCAAGCACAATCCGTAGATACATGGATATCACTTGACAAATGCCAGGGGTCAAGAATTGAAAGTGATGTGATATTTCAATTTTTATTAAGTCGCAGTCGCTATGGTATGCGTATGAAGATTTATTATCATTACCAATTAATCGTGAATATCGAAGGTTTATGCATTTCCGTTTTACAACTTCTTGAAGCACCTATCGCCAAGCCATCGCCCGATCTTAACTGTCGGCACATCCACCACGCGGTTGAAAATGTCGCTAACCCATAAAAGAACCAACGTGTTAAGGATGAAGCTTCCCCAGAACGAGAAAGCATACGCGCTCCAAGCCTTCTCAAACATCGAACCAGTCATCTTGAGGGGGAGGTCCTCGAGGGACGCGGAGGCGAGAGAGTGAGCATTCATCAAGGCGGTGTTAGCAGGAACCAGCCACCTCGTGCCCATTGCGTGGTTGATGAATCCGTGCCAGAGGTAGAGAGAGTAAGAGATGCGCCCGAGGTATTGGGCTATACCTGTAGTGAAGAGCCGTTGGAGCAGTGGCTCGCCCTGATCGTAAGTGGTGGTTGGCGCCGATTCCTCTTCCAGCTTTTCCTTCTCGCTCGTGTGTAAGACCGTGTTGGTCTTATGCCAGGGTGATCGGGTTCTGCACCCGCCCAAAAGAGCCGAGACAGAGCGGCGGATATTGATTTGGGGTGAGTACATCAAAGCAATGATGAAAAGAATGGAGCCGATGGCGTTCCAGTGAAGCTGCACTTGACCGTCCGAGCCACGATAGCATGGCAAGACATGCGATGACAGCCAGTGAAAGCCTGAAGCCGAAGCTCCTTTTGTCTCCGGGTAAGACATGAGATGAAGGCTGCAGACAAACAGGGCAATCGTCCACACATGGCGGAAAGTACCGCTCAAGTACGCAAACGCACGCCGGCTGGTTGAGGTGTTGCATCGCGGGAGCACGTCATGCAACGCGTTGGGAGGGATAGCGAGGGAGAGCTCGGCCAGCAAAAGTCCGGCGGGGAAGAGGGCCTTATCCCAGTCCCCGAGGTGGACGAGCCAGCCGGTGAGAAGCATTGTCCCAGTAGCGCGAATAAACTTGTGCACCATTGAAGAAGCAAGGAGAACGACCAAGACAAGCAGCGAGCCCTTGATGGCGACGTGAACAGTCCAGAGGTGTCCATTGTAGGCCATAACCCCAGCGTCATCTTGGTGAGCAACGGGCTTGAACGGATTCATCAGACCGACAAAGTCCCCGAGCCAATGCTGCATTTGGCCGGCGAAAGTGTCGATGACTGGCGGAGACGGCGCGGATGTTGGGTCCCTGATGTAGAAGCCAAAGTGTACCATAATGGCGATGATGGCTGTAGAGACAGCGACGGGGGCGTACAGGCGAATTGGACGGCGCAAGACAGACGATGCAATGTTCCGGAGAAGATGCTCGTCTTTGTGCTTGTAGATCATCGTCAGGGCCCTGATAGAGAGCACATAGCCGGATACGACGAAAAGAGTGGTGATGGCGGACCGGCCGGAGTGCAGAACCCTGACAATTGATTTCTGCCGGACGATTGAGCCATCGTCGGGCGAACCATATCCTTGGCCAAGCTCGGGGTACCAAAGATGAGAGTAGTGAGAAATGTAGATAATGAATGAGGCTAAGCCGCGAAGGCCATCTAAGTAGGCCGTGGAATCGTAGACTTGAGACACTGAACTCCTTCGGCCATCGGCAGCGTGGTTCTTCATTGGACTGAACATGAATGACGGGAGCATCAGGCATAGTATCGACATTATATAGCCGTTTCTGCGAGGGCGGTTGCCGCTATCTTTGTGGTCATCGCTGAAGAATGAAGAGACGGAGCTCCTCGCAGATCTGATGGATACCAGAATAGGGCGTTCGTCCTTTTTGAAATCTCGGTAGCAGCCGTTTTCGAGGGAAGTGCGCGACCACGGGGATGAGTCTTGACCCTCGACGAAAGGATTGATAAACCGCATGGTAGAGACGGTGGATGAGCGACGTCTTGGCTGGGAAGCCGACGAAGATTTCCGGCGGGGACGGAGGAAAGAGGCACTTGCGCGACCCATACGTCGAGGTACTTGTTGGACGAGTATTGCAAGTTTCTTCCAGGCCGGAGGGTTGTTGTCTTCCATGTTGAGCCTCAGTAGGTGAGATGTCGGAGAGAATTTGAGACAGGTCGGTTGTAAGATGCTCGGGAAGCGGCCTCTCTTTACATTCGACGGGCTTGGGGGCGTCCGTACACAGGTGTCGTTACGATGATGTTGATCCGACTCCACACCGATGCCGTTTCCGGGTGAGTGGTACGGCCGGATACATTGAATAACAGTTTCCAAAATCCATCATCGAGAGCCTATCCTGATGGCGATTTTAGAGGCCCAGACAAATCACTGATGAGCCGTCACTCCCCGGCTCGTAGGAAAGTTAGCGAAGATCTTTTCAAAATCGGGAGTAAATCGCAGCGGCTGGAATGGTGCCAAGATCTTCAACACTCCGAAGCCAAATGTCTCAGTCTCCCCGCATCTTGTAGTAGACCGGGCCGAGGCCTCGAAAACGACCCAACGTCATCCACGGCGTAGGCTAAATGCGGATTCTGGAATCGAATCGTTCGGTTTAGTGGTGGTGTTCGCTTACGATTATGAAGTCATTCCGTCGTGTCTCAGGGGAGAGACGAGCTTTTGTGTAGGGCCACAACGATAAGAGCCTCGACTATTGAAAGTATGTTTGCGGCTAGGAAATTTGGTATCCATGGAGAATCGCCTTCGGTAGAAACTGAGCAATGTCAGGACTCGGTAGAAAGAAGGCATCGATAGGAAAGAAGCTTGAGAACGAAACGAAGGGCCGCCTGACTGCACAGGTTGTCGCGAGTGCTGTTTTAGTCTTCATCTTGTGTCACTCAATAACGAGTCCAATTGTAGTTTGATGTGAAATATTCGTAACATAAAATAATCTCTTCCAATTTTTGCATTCTCGAATAATGAGGTTTACCTGAAATTGCGAGACATCATGTCGCGTGGAAACGTGACGGGATCCAGGAGAGTCCGGCGATCCAAGCTTCCACGGAACAATCACGTCCCAGGGGCGCGAGATCTTCGATCCTTACCAGTAGAAGTACGAAAACGTACACGGTATGCAGAGCCAACCCAATGAAGTGGCATATTTTCCAATTGGAAGCCTGCCAGGATCGAGCGAGACGCGTTTTCTATCTATTGCGGATTATGGCCAGGTATCATTGATCCCACTGAACGACATGGGAAGAACGGTAGTTCTTAACTTTCCATGACGATGTTCATAAATACAAAAGCTACCTTGCAGATCTTTCACGTCTTAATTTCGAGTCGTGTTAATGTCTCAGTCACCAGTCGGCGGTCTAATGTAGCAGATCGATGGTGACGGGTCTGATCGGGTGGCACTTCGTGCCGTAGATCAGAGGTAGACCAAACTTATGAGCCAACCATCGGGCCGAATTCAGCATATTCGGCCAAGCCTTCTCTCTTAAAAGGAGGGAAGAATGATTTGTAGGTAGGGTTGATGTTGGTTCTATCTTAGCAACGTTAGACTAGACCCAATCCGGTCGATGTTCTGGGAGTCTTAGCTGTTCACATCCGGCGAGTGATTGAAAGCGGTCACAATTGTTGATGCGGCTGGCATCATTGCGCGGCCCGAAGTTACTTACCCGGAGGAAGGCTCTAACGTGACTGTCTTGTTAGGGCGGTGACGTTCGCCGTTCGACGGAAGGCCCAGAATCTTGGTGGCTCCTTGTTGGAAACTGTGACACAGTAGCAACGAGCCACGGGCTTCTCAGGAATCTCCTTGAGGCCTAAGACATGGTCCTTTTCCCACGCCCCACAAGTATAAGCCTAGAAAAGGATTAACATGCTAGCTAGCTATACCACTAGTTAATATATTTAGCTTTTGTAGTAAAACCTACTATTTTTAAGTACCTATATTTTTACTAAAACTAGTAAATATTTATCTACTTTTTTTAATAACTATAAGTTAACTTTATTCCTTAACCTTAGTCCTCTACCTACTTACTAATAATACTACTATTATACCCCTACTTACTTTACATTAAATTAAACCCTAAAAAAGCTCTAAAAAATGGATAATATTTACGCTAATGAGATTATTAAGTTATTTAATAATTATAATAGCGACTTTAATATTACTAATAACTTTAAAGACCTTAACGCTTATATATAGCGCTATATACTAATTAGCCTTAATATTATTAACAACCCTTACTAGCTGCCTACTACGAGAGACCTTAATAAGATTAAGGTAGGTACCTTAATACTACTATAGGCGTATAAGTTCCTACTTCTACTGCTAGGTAAGTAAAATCTACTATTAGACTTCTAGCTAGCTATTCTATATAATAATAATATAGTATAGTGTAATCCTTACGAGCCCTACCCTCTACTAAATATCTAGTGAGATAAAGAGCTTCTAAACTATATTAATAGTATACTATATTATAAACTTCTTACTAAATACTTTAAATATAAGATATATCTACCTTTAGACCTCTTGCTACTATAGATATAGTAAAAGTTTATCCCTAAGTAGATAGCTGAGTAGTAAGTAGATTAGATTAATAAGAAGTTAGAGATATATTAATATGCCTATAATCTTACTAAAGTAATAAAAAACCCTACCTAGGCACCTTATTAGCTTTAGTATATAACTATAGTAGAGATTTATATCTTTTTAGGTATACTAATCTATATAACTATTTATTAAGAGAGTGCCCTCTATAATTACTAAATTAAGTGTAACTACTACTTTATCTACCCTATTAATTATTAGCTTTCTTATAAACGCTTTAAGTAGCTATACTATAACTTTTGTACCTATAACCTTAACGTTAAGCCTCTTTATAATATACGCCTAATAATATATAAGAAGGTTGCCTATTAGAGCGATTAGCTATAATTAGTATTAATATAGCTATAGTTACTTAGTGCCTATATTATTATTAATAAGAGTATAGTCTGCTATTAAGGCTACTACTTTAATATTTAGTATATATAGGGTAAACTTATACTTATTAGCTTTAAAGTATAGGTTATTAGGGAGGCTAGGTACTTTTTTTAGTAGGCTTAGTATATAAATAAGGGCTTAGCTATCCCTCTACTTATATACTTATTAATAGAGACTAAAGAGCTTACCCCTATAAGAGTAGTTATTACCTACTTTATCCTATTACTACTAGTGCTACTAGGCTAGTGCTAGTAATACTACCTCTTTATTAATAACTTATTTACTTCTATTAACCTATTTTAATACTATTAGCATAGGTATAAGCGTATTCAGGGGCGTAGTATATACGCCTATATAGTATAGGGTTATAGATAGGCTTATGTTATAATAAAAGGTGATAATCCTAAGCATTTATAGGCATTTAATCGTATAGATAATAATAAGGGAATCGATGTATTGTAATGACTCTGGTTGTTATTACTTGTGTAGTTAGTAGGTTTCCTCCTCTAGTAGGGAAAGGTGAGGGGAAAGATAATCTAAAACATAACCTGCTAAACTACTAATTACATA